GAGGAAATACAGTGCCACTGTTTACATGCTCGAGCATCGTTACTACGGAGAAAGTTGGCCAACTCCGTCAGTTGCATAGATTATTCAATACGAAATAACTCTGCAAACCTCAGTGCCTTTTTTACTTCAATCTCTAACAAAAGATCAAATCCTACAGTGTTTGACCAATCTTTTGTAAATTTCTCCACAACATAATTCATCCCATGCACCAATCACAGTTTGTTATCCAATCATCGTTACAGAGATCAATCGACCGAAAATCTCAAATGGCTCACATCGCAACAAGCACTCGCGGATTTAGCTCAGTTCATTATGACCATGAATAAGGAACGGAATCTGGTCAACCCTCAGTGGATTACATTTGGTGGCTCTTATCCTGGTAGGAATGATTTCTCATTCTTTGATTGCTGTTATGAAGCGAATGGACTGAAGTATGAAAATTAGCTCGGACAGATTGTGCATGAGGTGATCGTCAGTCCTTGCTACTATATAATGAGCGACTAATGCTGAAGGAGCTCGCTTTCAGGAATGCTCTCCGCCTGGTTCCGACAATTTTATCCTGAACTATCGGTGGGTGCATTAGCAAGCTCGGCACCGATAGGAGCGAAAGTCGACTTTTACGGTCGGTTACTTCAACTTGCTTGGAGAAATGTCGAATTCGTTTGCATGAAACCGTCAGATTAAGCAAGCTTAAGATTCAGAATTAGAAAAAATCTATTCCAGAATACTTAATCGTTGTTGCAAATTCGTTACGATTCTTCAACCCGAAATGCGCCGACAACGTTGGAAAAGCGTTCGATGAAATGCATAAACTTTCTTTAACACAAGAGGGACGTCAAAATTTGACGAAGATATTCACGTACGTTAGAACGTTCGCTTAAATTTTCAATTACAACCATCATACTCTATATTTTCAGAAGTTTTTCTATTCACGAAGAGGAATTCTCTGATATACTTCTATTCAATTATGATGCAATTAATCCGCCAGTCTTTATACACATTCACTCTTCCATGTGATCGTGCGAAGAAATTTTTAATTATGACAGAGACAGAGCAGTTTTATTTCATCCGTTCACTCCATGCAGCTCAGTATATTGATTCTATAGTTGGACACATTGAGAACAAAAACCTGTACGTTGAAACGCACACAGAAAGTAGAGTGGGCTGGGGTCATATATCTTGGCATTGAATTGTAGCAACTATTAAATTCTGATGAGTAATGCTGGTAGTGCCTATCAACTCCTTCTGTCGCCTTCTTCGTTATCGTACTGAATTTAAATTCCGTTCCAGAAAATCCTCTGTCTCCCACGTTTCCCTCACTCTCCGGAACCATCCTCCTTGAGTCATTCACTGCATCAGCGTTGACTCACCGGAAGAATCGAGATATTGCCCAGAGATATCCACGAAACTCCTCGATATACTTGTTTGTGCAGCCAACGAGTCTTATGCTCAATTTGCAGACTGAAACCAGAATGGACCGCACGATCAACGATTACTGACATCGACATGCAGAATTTCTTCAGCAATATCTACGGTAACTTCCAGGGTGCAGTGCAGTACAATAACGATAACAGTGTGAGCAGAATTCATATTGCTATTATAGTAGATCGTTCGTTTTTCAATTATCACAATTCCTATCACAAAATTTTATGTAGACATATAATGTGATTTGCTTCACATCTCACCAATCGGTATTCGGGTGAATGGCTTTAAACATATGAAATACTTATTGGGAATTTAACTGCTCCGTTTAAGGGAAAGCATGCGATTGGTGGAGGAATAAATGACGTTTGTAAGTATATGGTGAACAATGCGAAAACTCCAATTGAAAATGTGGCTGATGTTAATGCGTATATAGCGACGTTTTGGGATGGTTACTTCAACTACACTGATAATCGCTATCAAAATTATGTTGATTACTTGAAGGATATCACGGCAATGTGTATGTTAGATTCTATTGCAACGACTCTGTTATCTAGTGTAGCAAAACAGTTATGCGTGATAAATTGAATTGAATCATAGCATAAATTTGAATTCCTTTATACTCTCACCTTAAAGGGCGCGCTGCAATCCTTGAAAGTGGATGAGAGATAAAGAATGGATATTGTGAGAGATGTGAGGACGTTTTAATGTTTTTAAGGAGTGTGGGCGAGAAAAATGTTTGTAAAAAATGTTTTTAAATGATGATGCACCTTACATTTTACGGTTATAACATCACATTCATTCCATTTACGTTTCTGACATTAACATATGATGCGCCGCTTCCATGGAAGTGAGGCTAAGTCGATGATATTTTGTCCTTATTGCATGTTTTTCAGCCGCAAGTCGCAGTTGGACATATCAAACATGCAATGAGTTTGGATTTTTCCAGTCAACTGATATCGGCAAAAACATGTTCGGTGCTCCGACGCCTGTGAAGTGCGTTTTCGGGAATCAAATTGCTCTTATTGATATTTAGAGCAAAGGAGGCTAACCTTTTCGTAAAGTCCATTTGAATTCTAAATGCTCAATAGAAAGGCGTGCATACATCGCCGCTCGCGATAAGGGATGAAAAAGCATAAAAAGCTGCGCACAGAATCGTTTTCAAATGTCGTAAAAGGATGAACTCCGTGAACTGAAGTAGATTGACTGGGTTTGTATGCTGTGCAATCCCGACAGGAATACGTACCTACTCTTCAAGCGAGCCCATTGATGAAGAAGGTGTGATGAACACTTGAAAAGTTACCACGATTCATCTTATGAAAATTTATGCGGTGGTAATCGCCGACATCTGATCAGGCAGTCAAATAGGTTTTCCACAGACTCCTTTCTTCTGTGCTCCATGGCATCACTGCCCATCCCAGTATTGTTATTTCACGAGACTTATGTACAACTTTAGATGCTGTTTCTAAAAGGATCAGTTTCATATTAATCCTGAATAGTGGCTATATGATTAGGACCGTCAACAAGTGCAGCCAATCAAGAGTGAACCGTTGCGCGTTAATTAAGCATGAAGTATTCATTCGAATATCGATTGATATTTTACATGCCATCGTTCTGCACTTATTTTTTACGTGATCTACATGTTCATTCACCTCATCGCACGACTGCATACATAAGACGATTATCAACCGGACGATTGACGAGTTTTTGGACTCTTTGAGCATGATTTGTTTCTCCACCTTCTTCTAGGCCGGCAAAAATTGAATATCGTAACAACCAAGAGATCTTAACTATTTTGCAGTTTCTTCATTGACACATGCCGGGATGCTTTTGGACCAACGTTTACACCAAAATTCGTTTACGAAGCCAACGAAAAATCACACAACTATTATGGTGGTGTTGAATATTATCATGTACGTT